GTTGGCTGAATTCTGCCTCGATTCCATTACTGCCATTTTGTAATGTATTCGCAATTATAATTTCAGATTCTTGTATTCTCCTCGACCTTCCGGCTACATCGACCGATACGGTCACTAAATGTCCTTTCATTATGCTTTTATTATTAATCAAAACGAAGAATTATGTTGCGTGTTAAACTCGACAAAACTGTACCGTATACAATATTAATACAACACCTCCATGTATGCGTATATTTGCATTAATTCTTTATTTTAATGTAACTAAACAAAAAAGTCATTTTATCAATTAAAAGAACAATTAGGTGTACTCAATAATTTTTTTAAAACTATGCAGTATAAATGATAAAAGAAATACATTGAATATAGAATGCTAATATTGCAACTTTCAAGTTGTAAAATGTATTTCTTTTTTTATTTCTATAAAATAGTAATATTTGTGGTTTGTTACACATTTTCTTTTATTTTAAATGTATAATTATTTTGTCAAAGTGAAATGTAAGATATAGTCATATTTAAAAAAAAATATACTTCATTATTTTACAACGATAATATTTTTTTCTTAAAAATGAATTTGAAAATAGTAAATATCTAAAAACTGTCCAGGACATTCTATAACATACGAAAAAAAAGAAAATTAAAGAGGTATCACGTCAATAGAGCTATGAGATATGAGAATTTAATTTTAAACTTTTTGTATGATCATTTTGTGTGTACATCGAGGAACCTGGTAGGGATTGGGTTTTCTTTGGGGGATTAGTAAAAATCTTCGAGACAACAATAATGTAAATAACTTTGTATATACGCAACGACAATCATGTTACGCGTCTATAAAATATAAATATATATAGATACGAATTATATACATATATTCATGTATTTACGAGTGTATGCGTGTGTGTATGTATGTGTGAACATATGTTATATGTATGATGTATGTATGTATCTATAATGCATATAGGACAGAGAAATTACGCGATCAATTTGTACGGTCCGCGAATGCATATTTTTATGATAAATTACATGTACAACTCGTACAACAGCTTTTGTTACTTGTCTAACAACACAGAAAGAAACGGGAGTTGTTTTTGTGTAATAGAATTACGCTATCAAAGTGCAGGACCTATTACGTATGTATGTATTTAATTAACGTATTACGTTAACCTATAATGTACCAACGTGACGTTTTGTCTTACTGTGTTGAATCAAGTATAACAATAATGATGTCGATGGCAATGGTAAACGATGGGGCGATGATGGTAACGAAATGCGATTACGATAAACGATAGTAAAAACGACGATAACGCTGTTAATAACGGTATCAATGATAATGGCAATGTTAAAGTGGCGGCAATGAGTATAATAGAACATGAAATATGAATCATGGTACTGATATCGATAAGAATAGTAATAACGATAATAATAAGTTCGTAATGAAATATACACATACATAAACACGTACATCCTCCGAGAAACAACCACAGTATGACTTGTAAGTAATGATAATGATTTAAATGGTAGTGATTCGTATGATAACGATTAAAAGAAAAAAAAAATACAGTATATTCTTGCCATATTATTTTGTATCGTAAATTTTGTTTCTCAGACTTTTAATGATTAATATACTTCTTTTAACTCCTGAACCGTTTTATGTGACTAACTACACAGTGGTGCAATAAAATCATTCTAACAAAATAGTCTGAGTAGTATGAAGGTATGACGCATTTTTAAATTATGCATCTAATGTAACACAGCTGTTTAAATGTTCAGAACTAAATTCTTTTCCTTTTTAAATCTTTCAGAGACATTTCTTTCTTTCTACTTGTGTTTAATTTTAAATTGAAATAATGACCTGATTTGTTTTTAATCATTAAAATACAAAGTATAAGGTGAGTTGATTACTATTAATTTCTCAAATAATGAAACTGTAAAGGGAAAGATTTTATTATTGTTTTTGCTTTATCGGATTGCGTATATTTATTTATTAAATATGTTAATGTAGAAATATTTTATTCACCAATATATGAAATAGTAAAATAACAGACCTGCTCAATGCATTTTGCTCTATGAAATTTTCTACAATTGTAACTAACATACTATGTAATCTCTAAATTCCCATCAATATCAAGTTTTATTGAATTATTGAAGTTTTCCAAACCATTTTTAACACGTTCATCTTAAAATTGAAAATAATGTTAAAAGGTTTACTGTTATATAGGAATTATAGTTTTATTTAAATTGATAACATTATTTCGTAACAAATTGAAATAAAAATTTATCAAAGTATGAAGAGTAATATATACAGAAAAAAGGTAAATAGTAATTTATTCACTTTATAATTTATATCACAATGGAAATATATCATGACTGCAGGATGTTTGAAAATTATGGAAATCACCATTTATAGCACCACTGTCCAGAGGTGGAGCTTTATACACATATTTGCCCTTCTTTACCTACTATTATTATAAGCCTTATATTAAGACTTACAGGAAATAGAAAATATAGAGAAGAGATTAACAAATTTAATATATCTATTTTCTCTATTCTACATAAAAAATGAAATAATATGTGAAAAATATTTGCATTAGGTACATTGTACTATTACAGGCATCTGAGATTGAACAATACTGATTTATTAATTCACAAATCCTCGATAATTATGTTTACAGCTTTAAAGTTGAGCTTGACATAAACAAAATAACGTATATCACTTAAAGTCTTAGAAAGAACAATATTAATTTAAAATTTTTGCATAGAATTCATTAGATGATGATTAATAATATAGAAAATGAAAGTTTTGTCGGAAGAATAAAATATCCTTGCGCATGTTTGAAAAATAGCGCCGGCGCAGTACACGGATACTCCTGAGGACATTGGATTGGCTGTACAGTTCAGTAGACTTGCGGACAGCGTCTCGGTCTTTTTAGTATAGCGGAGTGCATCCGGCGTGATGTTGTTGTGTGGTGTTTTGTGTACTGCGTTGTCAGTTTCTTTCGGTGCAATTGTACAAATCGTAATATTTCTTCTGCAAAACTCAAACATCTTGAAAGTGCAAGCTTCCCTACCACCGGGAGCTGGTTAGTTTCTGTTTCATTACATTTTCATAGATATGTTGAGAATATTGGAAGTCACAGGTTCTGTTTCACTTTGCGTTATATTAATTGATGTAAAGAGGTCTATAAGATAAGAATGATTAAATCAATTTAATTTAAATAATAAAAATTAGTGATAATTATTGTTTTCTAAGTAGTTGGTATATTTAATTCTCTTTTTTAATTTATATAGTAATCCGATGATTTTATTCCAAAAAAATATATTTAAATATTTATTTAATTTCATTCGCGTATATTCTTTTCAATTATCTAATTTACATAGAAATTCTTAAATAGTCGAACAAAAAATTGCAAATATCATACTACACGAAAGATTACCTAAATTTTAAGCATAAGATTTATATTCTTATCAGTAAGTATTTATTCTAAAAGCATATAGCGATTCTCTTTCATATATTTTCATTTTGGCGCGCATTTTTTGAAAGCGAGTGTTCAACTTCCATGGTGGTGTGAATATGGCGTGAAGAAAGTTTGCAATTTATATGTTATATGGGTCCAAGCTATCGTGACCCACGTAAATTATTGTAATGCACGAGATCAGTGCCGACCTACTTGAAATTATGTCGCTGAAGAAACTAGGTGGCAGAATCTACAAGACACCTTAGGTAATTCAGTGGTCAGCTGCAAGGTGTGCGTCGACTAATCGATATTATTATCGGTGCCACGCTTCCCGGTGTGCACACAAACATACGCATATGTAACATCAAGTTCTACGTAAGTACTATACAATTCCCTGACATACGGAACATTTAACACTGGTTAGAGTCACGCTTCCTCTGAATGTTCCCACGCAACCAGAACTATCTGTTGGATGCAAATGATATTGAACTTGAATACCAGAGACCTTTGGCAAATTGTATCGAATCATTTTATAAGTTGTTTCCCATACCGTGATTTCAATGTAATATACACATGAAATCACTTTCCATTTAAATTACATAGAGTTTCAATATAGAGATTTAATAGAGTCTAAACAACAAATGTTATTTATTTACTAAGTAAACAAACATTTGAATACGTGTAAGTTATTTTGAGATAAATAAAGTTTATTAAATTTAATAATAATTTAACAAATAGAATGAGGTAAATGGAAGTAAATAATTTTTATTTTATAAGTAAAACTTGAATTGAAAATAAATAATTGTAGATTTTTCATTATTTTATTTAAATAAATACAGTATTGTCATCTTAATTGACTGAAATTTAAAACCATATTAAAGTGTTTATTTGGGTAAGTTCATAATTCATCCTGCCCAATTTAATAATTCATGTGAATAATAGAATATTATGAATATAAATGACATTTCTTTTAATTATACTGTTTAATTACTTGCAGTGCAAATAGTTTTGAGTAGTTTTTACGTAGTACTTCAAATATAAACATAATGATTTCTTACATTTAGAATTAACATTCTAATTTTCTAATTAATATTTATAATAATAGAATCTGATAATTCTGATTTTGCTATAGGTATTTAAATTAATTGTACGTATAACTGTAGATTCGAATTGAAACTGCTTCAGTAACCTTTCTAGAACCATGATCTCGTTTTCAATGATCCGAACTGTTCTACGTTTCTTACTCTTCTAAACCAATGCAGTAGACCTTGGAAGACCTTACACTCTCCCCACCCTTGCACGCTCAACGTATACACTTCTCCTGGAGAAGGGAAATGGTACTAACCTTGTCTTCAGAGCCAATTGGCGCTGTGATAGAATTTTATGATGGCTTATTTTTCGAGTGGCGACGTGACCTTGGTTGGTGTCGTGACAACGCTTCGTGTCCCAATCTACGCCTTTTTGTGCTATCGTGACGAAATTTAGTATCATATTAAAAATTTTATATTAATATACAGTGTATTAAAAATAAAATATACTATTTCAATCTACATATATTTTAATGTTTACAATTAGTAGTAACTGTTATAAAAAATGGATTATGAAGAAGAACTGCTATTTATGATATTTTGTTATGTTTTCAGTTTAATTTTAATATGTAGACCAGGGTTTCTCAACTCTTTCTGGTTTATGGGTTCTTTTTAGAAATTAGAATTCTCTATTTTCTTCATATCTCTTTAAAGTTGGAATTTATAAAAAATGTACATATATATTTGTATTGGATTTTATTTACTTATATAAATCTATATACATATGCATATGTGTATATGTACTACTATATCTACATGTATCTATCTATACTTATAGCATAAAATTAAGTGAACAAAATAGACTTACCTCACTTAAGAAATTTCGTAGCTCTCCAATTCTTCTTAGAAACTAGTTATTTTCAATAAAATTAAACAACAAATAATTTTTTTTTTGGAAGTGAAACAAATCATTTAATTGCACGTACATTAATTTTCTTTTAATGTAAAACAATTCATGAAATATGTAAATTAATTCGGAAATAAATTACCTCTCAAACAACTTCAAAATTAATTTCAAAATAATGAAATTTGAAAATTCCTCAAAATTCCATAGTTTTTCATAGTTTCAATATTTTCTCTAACTATTTAAATCATAGACTACGATAAAAGGTAAGAATGCCCAACAAAATAAGATATTTTTAGAAATATTTATGAACAATTAATTAAAGCGTAGAGTAATAAAATTTTTAAAATCCTCGAAAATAATAAAAATTTTTTCAGAAATATTTACAAGTAATTAAAATAGTGTAAATTAATGAAATTAAAATAAAATAAAATAAAAATATATTCAGAAATATTCGCGAGCAATTAAAGTAGTGTAAATTACTAATACCAAAACAAAATAAAATGTAAATAAAAATAAAAATAAATTAAAAATATGTTTAGAAATATTCTCGAGCAGTTAATTGAAGCGAAACGTTTCCTTCGCGATGGTGAACCGATTAGCCCTGGTAATCAAACTGTTGGCAATGAGGTTCCGTGTACCGCACGAGAAACTGGAATTGGATAACAGGTGAGGGTTTAACTACGTGCCCAGCAATAATCCGTAACGAGTATCGGGAAGGGGTTGTAAAGGCATGGCTTGTAACGGAATCGAAGGTAAAGCCTCGAGGACTAATCAGAATCAATTTACATTATTTTCACCATAGGAACTCGCGTCCCTATCGATTTAACACTACCACCACGGCTAAAAATACCCAAGGTGTGCATCGTGAATCTTTACATTACGCGACTGCATGAAAAGTTTGCGTGGTTGAGGAATTTTTCGGAATTTTAGAAAAAGGATCTGCTTCAAAATTTTGCATAAACAGATTCCATGATTTGTTCACGATTTTTCCTGGATTTATTTTAAATTTTAGAAATCTTTTTTTGGGAAGATTTATTTAATATCAATTAGTTCATTCAATTATTCAATTAATTTTAATATATAATTTAAATTAAAAA